ATTAGAGGAAATTTTTAAAAAAAAAAAAAAACAATAAAAATATGGAAGGATAATGCTAAATGGAAGGATTTTTCTTTGCTGGATCAGCCACATTTAACATAAATGTTAAACTTTTTCCAGTGGCATGCTATTACAATTGTTTACTTGACAGCACAGTGAAACTGTAACTTAACTTACAGAATACAAAGGAAAATAAACAACAGTGAGCTTGAAGGGCTGATACAGCTGCGATAGTGTTGTAATCCAAAAATAAAAAATCATGATGAAGGCTTCTTCAATTTTGTGAAAATAGTAAAGGGCTTGTTCTCTTCTGAAAAATCTTGCAAGTTGTAGTGCGAAGAAATGTGATGTTTGGAAAACGATACTGCTTCTGATTGTGAAGCCCTATTATTATTTCTGCTATTAAATATTAAGTGCCATAATTTTAATAAAGAAAAATGCAAACATATATTTCAGTCTGATGTGTTTTGGTTTTATAAAGTAGACTAAATTTACCTATTATTTCAAGCTTTCTTTTATATAGGTAAATACACACTCTTTTCAATTCATTCTAAATAATTGTACAAGTATTTTAACATGATTAAAAAGGAAAAATGCTTTTTTCTTGCAATGACAAATGTTTGCAGTTTTCTCAAAGAAATTGTACATTTTGCTGATTTTTTTGCAATAAATAGCATGTAAGTAAAACACAAATCCTGGTGTGCCATGAAATAAATCAGTTTAGTTAATTCCCTATGTTTTTAAAACAGAGTCCTTTGTGGCTCTTACTTACTTTGTGCATTGTCAGATGAATAGTATTCAGGGTAAGCAAAATACTAAGAAAAGGAAACAGTTCTCATTGTGTTTTTCAGTTTAAATGGAGCTAAAACATATGGTAGCATGAAAATGAGTAACAGGAGCAACATGAACACTTTCCCGTTTTTAGGTGAGATCTTGAGGAAGGAAATCTTTTAAGCACATAACTGTGTTTTGTAAGCAACTTATGTTGCCTTCCCAATATTATTATGAACTTTTAAAATGGCTGCGCAGAACTACTAAGCTATTTTGTTATATTTTAATTTTGTATATATTGTTGAGTGCTGACACCGTGAGAAAGAAAATGGTCCCAGATCTTAGGAAGCTAATGGTCTGAAGTAATTTTAAATATTGAACCAAGGTGAGCAAGAAAACCTGAATGACACAGAAAAATTAACTTATTCTATTATTCCTGGGTTGATACTATCAATCAGTTGCAATAAAATTTACATATGGATGCAGAGAGACAGGCAAGAGTGGTGTCTCAATTTGAAGTCTCTTATTTTCTTTATTTGCTTAACTCACTGTAACAGGTGGCCTAAATAAAGAGGCCTTATGAGACCAGGAAACCATATTGTGATAGAAACTGATTTCATAAGTGCCATTTAATCCATGTTTTTAAACAAATAAATAAAATGCTTAATTCATGCTGCTTTTTGGCTCACCTGGGAGCCTTGGGAAATGCAGAATAACATATTTGCTCCTAAGCTGGGCGTGGAAGCTCAGAACAGTTAGTATGTGACGATTCCTTAGTAAGAGTCAGTAGAAGTAAATGTTAGCATGTAGGTTCCACAAAAACACGTTTTACGAGTAATTCTACACATTACACAAGCTCACATGAGAGAAAAGGTCTCTTCAGCCAGGTATATGCCCTAGTTATCTTCACAGGTACCAGTAATGTGTCTAGGAAAAGCAGCTTCAGTAGTCCTGTCTCCCAGTATTATAGTTGTGAGGTTTAGCAAAGATCAGTGGTACAGGGCACTGATTTAACTCTGCATTTAGTAGCCTAAATCGAAGGAGCTGCTGTTGTAACAAGCCTTGGCAGGTTTGTTACTATTTATCTTCTTGTGGAAGCTTTGAAAGTTTTCCCCTCAAACAATGGCTTTAGCACCTATTCTAAAAAGCACTGGTTGCTTGCCTCAGCAATTAGTGACAAGAAAAAGACCTTTTTTTTTTTTTTTTTAAGGAAATAGATTTTTGTGTCGCCAACTACCAAAAGAAAAAGCAATGGTTTGTTGTATAAAGAAATGCAGTTTTGCAATATTTGTTCTCATTATCAAAATAAAGTTACTATGGTGATCTGAAAACTAGAATTTAAGAACTATTAATATAAGGATTGCATTCACGTGGTACTTGGATTGCTTTAAACGAGGCTTTAATAAAACCTATTGTAATTGCTCCAATTAAAGGAGGGTAGTACCAACTTTGACATTTCCTATTGCTGGATCTGAACACTCTGAGGGTGGCTGGATTGGTATTGTGGAACACAGGCAGAAGTAATAGTTCAAAAATAATTAAACTTGACAGTCAAAGTAGATGTTTTCATTTGAAGAAGACATTTTTGTCACAGAGGTGTTTGTTTGTCAATGAGTTTTTCATCAAAACTTTTTTAACCTTTCTTTGGTTTGCTTTCTGGATGATTAATTCAGTAGCACTTTCATCTACTACAGAGGAAGACAATTCTAGATGTCCAGTGAAACCTAATTGTAAAGCATTTTCTAAATTCTGGAAAGTAAATTTTTAGTTGGGGCCAAGATTTTAATTCATATTTTTACATAATGTACATTTCACATTCTTAAGAGTCTTGGGAAGATAACTTTATTTTAAAAATGAAAACATTCATTTAAGCTGTGTTTCATTTGAACACCAAAGGAGAAGCAGACTTTTAAAAATGTATAAAGTTTATTCAAGAACTCAGTTTTCAGTTCATTCTTGCAATTTCCTTTTGCGTAAGGCTATATAAAGATAGACAAATGTCAATACTAAAGGACTGTGAAATTGAAACAAAGAGGGTTGTGTTTGGACAATCATCAATAAAGTTTTACTACCATTTTGCTATTTTTACTTTTCCACTATGTAACAATCCCAACCAGTTACAACAATGGCTGTAAATAATTCTTTTTAAGGGAAAAAAAAAATGCAAACAATACAGTTCACTATGCTGGGTAGTGGTGGTGGTTTTTTTTCTCCATTTGGATAACGTTTTTGAAAATAAACTGGAGAAGTGCATACTCTCACTTTCCTGTGCCATAATTTTCTGTTATTCTGTAACTATTTACTGAAGTTTCATTCAAGTAGAAACAATAATTTTGAAGTATTAAAGAGAGATGGAAAGACATCCACAGGGAGATATCAGAAATGATAATTTAGTGATGTATGAACTATACTGAGATTAACAATTGATCAGTTGATTACGCTGTGTTAATTTTAGCATAAACTTTATTTCTCCACGAACCACAAGTAAAAGAAAAAATCCCAAAAGTGTTCCTTCAGTGACAAGACGTTGCCATCCATGCTTTAAAAGACCTGCACAACTTACATAATGCAACTATGTTTTCAACGTCAATTTTGTAGCATAATGCAAAGAAGAATGAAGTTTAAACAATAAAGAGGGGCAAGTTGGTGATTTGGATGATGGCAGAGCTGGGGATGCAGCAGACCTGTTTAGTTTTCTGTACTACTCAGAATTCACCTGTGAACTGAGGCAAGTCCAAAAGGATTATCTGCACAAGAAAGGCAGTAGTCATTGCAATGTCTAACTGAGGTGCCATGATGCTTAGCAGTGTTACTCGCCGGGGAACTGCACCCTGATTTTGCTAGCTGTGTACCACAGCTTTGTAAAAATGTTAACTAAAACAGAGCAACTTCAATGCAAGAAGCTGCAACAGAAGTGGCTTCCAAATACCCAGTGGAAACGGTATGTTTCCATTGCCAGCAGAGTAGGCAGATTGTAACTGATGTACTATTTACAGTATCTGTCTACATTTAGGGATCGGATTAGGTGAATGAGTAGTTTGGTACCACATGGAAGTGGGCATATGTTCCTTGATGTCGGAAACATAAGCATGATGACAATTCAAATGCCTTTGAAACTAGATAGTGGCTGAATTCTCTAAGGGCTGGAAGTCCCAGTTTTGCTGTTGTACTACATCTATAAAAGACTGTAGACATTACAGCCTTCCAGGTTACTTGTAGCAGCAGTTTTTAGGTATCTGGCACATGCAATGGAATTTGCTGTCCTTTATTTTAATACTCATACTTTCTATCCAATGAGTAAGCTAAGTCTGCTCATAATTTGGTTTTCAAACCTGCACATGGAGCTGGAACCACCTAAACTGCCTTTAAAGGAATGCTGAAGACAGGTTTCTGTTAAAGCCTGTCTCATCTGAGGGCTTAGTTGTAGAGAGAGATGTAGTTGAGAGACACAGAGAGATACAGTTGAGAGATATAGTTGTAGAGTAGAGATATATATTCTCTTTAGGGCCAACAGCCCTGGACTCACTCCTGAAGGTAGATGTCTAAGCCCAGGAAAAGGGAATTTCAGAAATGGAAGTTGTGTGGCTTCCTACTTCTCCCTTAGGCAATATGTTAGCAATTGGAGCGCTCTCCAAATAACATGGGAGACCTTGATTCACTTGCCTCCTTTGCCTGAAGCTCAGCTTAAGCACGTCTCCTACTTTTCCTATAGAAGCTCTTCTAGTTTGCATTAATTGCTGAGGGCTCCACCCTGCTAATGAAGGGCAATTTCAGTATTGTACATTAGACTCGTTGGCTAAATTACAAAGGCGGCCCTTGAAGCAGAGGCTAACCAGGGCTTTACCACAATAATAGTGGATGCTGTTAACTGGGGGCTCTTTCTCAGCTCAGTCTTTTGTGTGATCTGGGATCATAACTGAGTGTGGGGTTTCTTTGCTTGCCCACCACAGCTGAAGTAGCAAGTTTAAAAAACGGCATAGTCTTACCCATTCTTTTGTTCTGATTCTCCTGCTTTAAGGGTGATGATTCTTTTCACTAAAGGATGGACATTCTGTGGTTTAATAATGATTATGGATTAAAATCTTTCTGTAAATAGACACCAAGGCACTATGTGATAGCTGATTCTACCTGGGTAATAATATCATCAAATATATACAAAACAGCATCAAAGGAGTTAAAAACCCATAAGGTTTAAAAACAGACTATTAAATACAAATCCTGCTACCCAGAGGTGTGCAAACGATTTATTTGTGTTCAGTGCAACACTGTACAGGGGAATGGGTCTGCAGTGGTGTTTCTCTACAAGGTCAATAAATGGTTTGTCAACTCTGGTGAGCATTTACTTTGTATCCAAAGTCCTAATGTAAAAAGTAATAAGAGTAGTTTTACTCTCTGCCTTTGTGATGGAGTCCCACTCTGACAGGACCAGAAGTATCAGTCAACAGCTGCAGATGGAAATGAAATAGTCCTCTCAATTGAATTCTGTGGGCTGCAAAAAAGGATTTTTTTCCCACCGCCCAAACAGGTCCTTGTGTCAGACAATCTGGAACCACATTAAGGATTTTTTTCTTTTTACTAGTCCAGCTGGCAGAGCAAATTGCTTTGTTGAATTAGCATGTCCTAAAATATAAAAAGGTTTAAATGAGTACAATGGTACAGGCAGTACAACAAACTATTGCTATTAGAAAATATACTAACATATTTCTCTGTTGTATAGTGAACAGATTTGAGACACAGGGAGGTGTAAATGACTCTTGGAGCTTTTTGTATTAGTTATTTTTATATGAATCAGTACTAAGCAAATCAGCATATATGTTGCCAAATTAAAATAGAAAGCTATTAGCTAATTAACAACTTTTACACAGAACTGATACAAATACCACATTTTTTGTATCTTGTGTTATTGCAAGAACAAAATTGCATAGACCATTTGCTGGCACTTTCTGAATTCCCCAAATAATGCTTTGTCTTAGCAAATAGTTCAAGTAGTTCCCTCAATTTAATTTCACCCACTAATGCAATTAAGTGTTTACATGTTGTGAGAGAAAAAAAACCATGGAGCTCAAAAATATTAACAATGACATAATCATCTGACTGAATAATAGTTCAGCAAGGAAACATATTCCTTTTATTTTTTTTATGCTTTCTGTAAGGCTGTTTTCAAAGTGTTATCGACAGAACATAAAATTTTATCCAAGTCATTCTTCTGAAGTTGAAATGTCATTTGTGCTCTTCTTCCCCTTTCACTCTGTAGCCCAGAATTGTAGCTACAGATTTGTTTCCTAAACTGAAGTACTTTGTTTTTAAAATTCTGAAAATTCTGCTTTCGGTAATGCTTTTTAGCAATAATATAAAACTCAGACTAGCAAGGGAGTGTGTGGCCTTTTCTGGTGCCTCACTGGCAGACACGGCTGTATTCTTGGCAAGTGGAGCCCACGCCGGCCACTGACAAGTAGAGCTTTCCATCCGGACACACGCAGATTTCGTAAAGCCCCTGAGAAATACTGGATCCACCCCTTGTACCCTCAGGCAATTTGGGCAGTCGCACAGTTTCAGCATCGAGCAAAAGCTGCATGGGAGAAAGCAGGACAAATGGGCTCGTTAGAGATAATAATGCAATAGCGTGCCATAAACCAACTTGACTTTGTCTCAGCAGTGGTTTAATAATAGCTTTCTAACCAGACTTGTTATATACAAAGCTGCTCTGAGGCCTAGGCTCTTGGCAGACACTGGAACACGGGAGAGGGATAAGCTGGTGCCCATCCTTTTCCTTAGCAGAGACCTCATGAAGTTCAAGAAGGCCAAGTGCAAGGTCCTGCATGTGGGTCGGGGCAATCCCAAACATGGATACAGGCTGGGCGATGAGTGGAATTGAGAGCAGCCCTGCGGAAAAGGACTTGGGGGTTCTGATGGATGAAAAGCTGGACATGAGCCAGCAACGTGTGCTCGCAGCCCAGAAGGCCAATCGTATCCTGGGCTGCATCAAAAGAAGCGTGGCCAGCAGGTCGAGGGAGGTGATTCTGCCCCTCTACTCTGCTCTGGTGAGACCCCACCTAGAGTACTGCCTTCAGATCTGGGGCCCCCAGTGTAAGACATGGACCTGCTTGAGTGAGTCCAGAGGAGGGCCATGAAGATGATCATGGAGCTGGAGCGCCTCCCCTATGAGGACAGGCTGAGAGAGTCGGGGTTGTTCAGCCTGGAGGAGAGAAGGCTCCAGGGAGACCTTATAGCAGCCTTCCAGTACCTAAAGGGGGCCTACAAGAAAGCTGGAGAGGGACTTTTTGCAAGGGCATGCAGTGATAGGACAAGGGTTAATGACTTTAAACTGAAAGAGGGTAGATTTAGATTAGATATTAGGAAGAAATTCTTTACTGTGAGGGTGGTGAGGCACTGGAACAGGTTGCCCAGAGAAGCTGTGATGCCCCCTCCCTGGAAGTGTTCAAGGCCAGGTTGGATGGGGCTTTGAGCAACCTGGGCTGGTGAAAGGTTGCCCCATGGCAGTGGGGTTGGAACTAGATGATCTTTAAGGTCCCTTCCAACAGAAACCATTCTATGATTCTATGATTCGAGACTGGGCCCCTGCCTATGCTGAACCTGGGCACTGCTGCTGCCGCCGCTGGACCCACGTCTGTCCTGGCCTGAGTGCTGAAGCCTCGCAGCCGTGCCAGCTGGTTAAGGATGGACATACAGGTTGGTCTGGAGTTCCTCTGTGGAAGAACTGGCACTGTACAGCCTTGCAGCTGTGATAAATAGGCTGCTGCATGTCACATGCTGTTGCTGACGGGGCAGGTCTTAATGATGTCTGCAGAGCTTCACTCCTTAATTTATCAATTCTGGGGCAGAGTGTCTACCTCTGGGCCAAGGACCCCACTGGGGTTCCTGGGGATCACTGTGCTAGTGGGAGCTGAGCGCTATCAGAGTTTTATTAGAAAACATTTCTCTAAGCTAATACAACATTATGTCAATTGGTAGTATTATTTAATCTGACCCATAAATAAAAGTCGTTTTATTGGCACCATTAATTTTAATATCCTGTCTACTAAAATCTGAGGAATTAAATTAACAAAACTTGAAAAAAGTCTTGAAGTTATTAGTTATATTCAGACAGTAAGATTAACCATAGTTATGGAAACAGAAGGGCTTGTACTCACCACACCATCGCTGCTGTGTAGTTTGATATCCATCTGGGAAAGAGCTTCAATATTCCCAGCTTGCGCGTTGATATTAATTCCTCGTGGTGCATCCATGCTCAAAGACCGAGTCGGTGATTCCAGCCTGAAAGCAGGAGCAGGAAATCTGACAATGGCACATTCTCATATGTTCCTTTATTTTTGAAAAATAAGTAAACTTTGAACAAGCACTTGAAGGATCTTGCCTGAAGTCATATAAAAGATGCCGCTTCTTTTTTCTTCAGGCAGACTTGAAAAAGGAGGTAGCTATTTAAAAACACCAAAGTATCCCAAATGAAAAATATAGATGAATTCATAATATAAATGCAAGGTCTTATTTCAGAGATAACTTCAGATTATTTCAGTATAATGGTAATTTATTCTTTAAAATTGAAACCCATTTTTACATTCTTTAGTTTGAATTTATTTTCATTTTTGATATAATAAGATATTGAAATTAATACAATAAGTGCAGTCTGGAAGTTTTTTAATCAACAAACGTTTTGACATTGCTATCAGTTGGACCAAGATTTCACACAGTGCGTGTGTGTGTTTAACTAGATGGCATCTGAAACTTAACAATAACTTTGAAATAAAAATTATGTGATATAACAGAAAGTTGCAAACCCTACAGTGCCACAAGATGGCAGGAAGGTACCGTATTAGCTGAATAATCACCTCAGCGGGTCAGCTGTGCAGGATTAATGATTTTTATTTTCCAGAGAGATAAGGCTTTGCTTCTTCAGAACTTTGGTATCATTTCCACGATAAGTAGCGGGGATAGAAGTACTAATTAAAAATCAGGAGAAGGAAAGAAAAGCCCAAGCTCAGCAACAAACTAGTGATTACATTGCTTCTTTTGACCATTACCTAGAACTGCTTTGTCTGGAGGCACTGGGAACACTGCAGGATCAGAGTTGATACCTACCGAGTTTTGTACCTGGATATTGGCTAACCCTTCTTGATGACACCAGCCTGAATTTTACACTATCAGCCAACATTAAACAGGAAAATATTAAGGCTAGAGAAAATGAATCAACCGGTGGTCCCAGTTTACTTTACACCCACGTTACCTTCTCTATTCTGTACGTTCCCTGGACACATATAAAATCATGTGGGCTTCATCCACTATGCAGAACTCAGACACGCGTCCCCGTTCCCAGTTCTGCGTGTGCTCACCCACCGTGTCTTCTGGAAACGTAGAGGGTGTGTGGGTGTGTGTGCATGCATATGCGCACGGACTCCCAGCAGATGCTGTGTTGGCTCCATGCGTGCTCAACAGCCACCGATCTGGATGAGTGGAGGACTGTGCCCCAGGAGGTCCTTTGCTAGATGGGTGTCAGATAGTGAGTCTAGACGCTGACTGCCAATCACATGCTAAAGGAATGAAACAATTCAACACACAGTCTTGATGTAGCTGTCTGATGGGTTTCATTTACTCAGACTGCTTGAGTTCTTCCTTTTTTTGCAGTTACTTCATTAAAAGTAGAATTTAAAAGCAGTCAGTTTGTGCTTGTGAGAAACTTCAGTTGTATCTTAGAGTTCTGAAGAAGCTAAATCCAGCTGATATCTTAAAACCTAAACCCATGATATATGAGCACAGTCAAGCACAGTCACTGAAACTTCATTTTTTATCCCCAAATCTGAAAATAACTCAGGCAATACGGGCTTATCGCTGCTGGCCAGAGGTGACAGGAGATTCTGTCTTCTTTGATCTTCAAAGGCGCCTTCCAACCCAAACCATGCTATGACTCTATGTTTCTATGATCTGCCTCCCCCCGATATCTCCTGGGTTAGTCACCTTCAATTAGTTTAAACTCCAGATTGGTAATTTAAATTCCTAACAATGGATAACTGCATCATGGTTCCACATTAGGACCATATCCATAAAATAGTTTGATGCCTTATCCCGTGACTCTGAGATGGCACAAACTTCTGTCATGATCATGCTGAGTAAAAGGGCACGAGTATGAGTCTGTTCTGCATCAGCCATCTAACATAGTATTAGTAATCTTTATTAAGCAGTGTTTGTGATTTAACAACTTTTCTATGACTTTTCAGTTTAGATCCTTAGATTTACAATTTTATGAAATTGGAAATCAGTTTTTCGCTGTGATTTACATGAGATATCTGCTTCATGGGACTATTTTCCAATGCATATTTGTATGCATTATATAATGAAAAATTAATCAAAGTTTGTATTTTTAATATTTAATGTTTAATATATTTTCTTAAGTCAGTGTCAAGGTAGTTGAATACAACCGTTGCCTTTGTTTTAACAAAAAGCTATAAACATTGAAATAGCCCATGTTTTTCTGTAAAGTATTTCATCTATGTAAGTATACGTAGGCATAATTTTTTATTTAAGCTCTATTGAATATTACAAGAAGGCAGACTGGGACAGATTTTTGAAGAGCATATCAGACCTGGAGTTTGAAAAGCAATCAAACACTGGAGAAATATTTCTTACTTTCTACCAAAATTAATGCTGGCAAGAAGCCTACAGACTTTGGAAGCATTTACAGATTTATGATATGACCTACATATAATTTAAATTACATGGCAGAATTACATTTGCTATTATTAACCACAGTCCTAAATTTCTGCTGTTTATACAGGTCCTATTTCTATAACTGAGGGTAGATTTACCTAATTAAGTCATTGGAGCTTCCTGGCAATAGAAAATGCAGTGAAGCTTAAGCAGTGATTTTAAAGCCTTCTGGAACTATTATGTGTGAGATTTTAGCAAAGGCAACATTCAGTAACACTAATGATATATTTCTTCATACAGCATTCAAAGGTTCAGTGCCTCAAGTCCAGATGTAATAAAAGGGAAACAGGTACCTACTGTAGAAATGACATGACTGAGTTGAACCTTGACTTCGAATGTCCCTTCTCAGTCCCCACTTGGTCCTGAAGACACGTGACTTCCTCAGCCCCTTCGACATTGACCTTAAAGTCATCTAAAGTTCTTCAGTGGTCCTGGCCCTGAGGCACTCCCAGTTTGTCACTGGTGGCAGGTTTGAACTTCTCTATGTTTAAGGGTCTGGGGACCACAGAACTGCCCTAGCAGAAGAGCTGACTGATGGAGATACTTGAATGAACTCAGGGCGTCTCAGAAAGATATGAGCACTGCAATTATTAACACTGGTGGTGTTTTAAATAGACATTGATAAAGCAAAATGTGCTTTTTTTTTATTTATATCAGTGAACAGATGATGGGAGGAAGTTGCTCTGCACTGTGAATGATTTGGTCAGTCACGCAGAAGATACATGACTGTGCAGATAATGGCTGATAAGACAGTTTCAAAATCTATTCCCTGGGCAATAAAAGGAGGAAGAGAGTAAGCTGGGCTGAGCAAATGTTGATGTTCATCCCTCAAAAGCCTTGGCAAAACAAGAATTCAATTTGCTTGCAAATGCTGGAGGGTGCATGGACAGGGGACAGAAGTTGATTGTCTTAGAGTTTTTGGTCCCTTTTTAGTGTTTTTTTGAATTCAGGCAGTAGAATGATGAGGGAATATATTGTTACTGGTCACTTTATCTTTTTTAAAAATTACAAGCATATAAATTACATTTAACAGAATGGAGTGAGGATCTTTATCGTCTAGAGAAATTAATCTATGTAATGTGCTGTCCTAAATGAGACATCTGTCACAGCCGGTATCTCATTTGGGAAGATGGATTCTGTACTTATGAGTAGCTTCTAGGTACTGTGGTAGCTATGCCAGGGGTCTATTAGGAAGTGGTGTGATGCAAGAGGAATTGATCAGGACGGCACAACATTTGATGCCAAGGACCTGACACCCCCATTATATGTGTTCTGAGAAGTACTCTGGACTAGCTGTTGTCTGACCCTGAAGACTGGATGCCCAGAAAGGTTGGAGCATGTTAGGCATTCTCCAGAAGAGCACAGCTTTCAGGTTAATTTAACCCAAATGTAATCCTGTTCATGTGCCCCAAACAGATCCACAATGAGAACCAAGGGTTGGGGAGCCCAGGCAGTTGGGAGGCTTCCCTCAAAAGCACGTTCCTAATTTTAAATTAAAACACTCATGTAGACATATCCACGGAATGTGAAGCAATGGAAACCACACCTAGGCCCACTTGTGGAGTAGGTATTTTGCCTTGCTCTTCTTCACCCTGATCCCTGCAGCCACCTGGAGGTTTGTTGGCAAAGTGCAGGGAAACTGCACTGTCTTGGCTAATGAAGGGCAGGGAAGGGGTGGGGGGTAAGTGCTAATATTTCATAGCTCTGTTATCTGCTGGATATTGGCTCTCCAGCAGTCTGTTGCAACTAAAGCAACTGATTACAAGGAAGATAATATTTTTATCACAGTCTTCTTCCTTGTTGGTAAGATAGTTCCAGAAGTCAACTATACTGTCTTGGCAGGCTGCTAAGAAAATTTGGTGCTGAGTTGTGCAGAATAATTTAGGAAGGACTGTGTGAAAGTCTTCTGAGGGAATCTGGACAGCATCCAGGCTCTGCATCTGAAACCATCCCAACAGCCTACAGGCTTGGAGCTTCCCACCCTTTCCTATGAGCATGTTGCTAACTCGTGGAGATACCAGATCACAAGAAATTGCTCAGTTGGCTGTGTTTAGGGAGGATGTGAGAGGAGTGACAACCTGCTGCAGTTGTGGTAAAGAAGCAGCTGAGTTGAACCCTGACTTTGAATGTCCCTTCTCAGCCAGTGCATGCTGCAGGAATATCGATCTCTTCCTTCATCCTGTTCTGGCAGGAGATGGAAGCATACCTTGCTGATCTTACAAGTACCACAATGCATTAGAAAGCTGGTTTTAGTACTGCAGAAAGAGTACCACAGTCTTCTGGAGCCCAAGTTTCCTACCGCAGTGTGGGATTACTTGGCTCTTAGAGCAGGACAGAGGAACCAGCTTGCTCTTGTGAATTTGGGGAATAATTTATTCCTTCCTACTGGCCACTTTTTGTCCTTTCCTTCTTATGAGTCAGCATCTCTCCTGAATTCAATGGGGACAGAATTCCTGGGTATGACTTCAGATAAAAGTTCCCCAAATGTATGCATTCCTCCCAGCACCTACCTGAGGAAGACCAGGCTTACTGTAAGTGGACTGGACAGGTAGATG